TTATTATTTTTTATTAATTTTATACCACAACCAAGTAAGTCTATTTTCCAGGAGTTTCCAAGTAATTAAACACAATTAAAACTATTAAATTCCTTCTTTTGGTGACAACTTCATTATTAACAGCTAACCACAAGGAGGAGATTTAACTTAGAAAGCCCTTGATTGTACACTAATCCGTCTCTCACCTCTGGCTGACACCTGTAGCAGATAAACCCTATAGAATAGGAGTCTGATGAATACTCTTAATTAATACTTTCTTCCTTGTAGAAAAGTAATTATTTGCTCACGGCATAAACAGGTATTTGGCAGAGATGTAAAGAGTCTGATTAGTTTTAAATACTAGGGCTTTATTTTGTTGTTTTTTTTTTAAAGCCGGGGGCGGGGAGGAGATCTGAATCCAAGACCCATGCTCAGAATGACTTTGTCCTAACATTTTGAATGTCGGGTTAATTGGCACATTGCTAAATAGCAGCAGAGTCAGACAACAAGCTGATTTGTTATCCGTCTCAAAGGAGCCAGCTTTGCCCCTTTGCTAATGGCCTGCAAGTCTGAACAGGGTACCTATAAGGCAGAGGCTTGGAATGGGCTTTGGAGCCAGGATCGGAGGCAAGAGTGACTTGCACTTGAGAGATTGCCAGAGATAAGTCTGCTTCTCTCTTCCTTTCAAATTACAGTATACAATAGGGAAGAGCTGGCTGTGGACATCCAGCCAACTGGATTTGTCCTAGCTGCAGGTGTTAACAAATGCATGTCTTTTTAATGTGTATTCTGGGGCAAGTATAAGCAGTTTATGAACAATCAGTCTCAGTGTTTCAGGAGAGCTGTGGTAAGAAAGTTTTAATATAGAGCCATTTGGGAAGATGCTGACAGTGCAATTTGTGTGGCTGCAATGCATATGGGCTTTTGTATAGGTAATGCCAGTACCTTTAGTAGTGGAGGTATGGCAGTGCAAGCTTGTGTGTAGATTGGCTCCTGAAAAAGGGTGTAGGGACTTATATAGTGCATGCTGCAATGTACTTATAGCTATTTGTACCCACATCCAGTACCTTAAAGCTAATTTGGGTATGCCTATATATTCTGCATTTCATTTGCTAACATACAGACTAGTTGGAGTTTCACATGGAGTGAGCAGACCTAACTTCCCACTTTAACTCACTACTGTAATAGGGGAATATTTGTGCTTTGCTCACCTCCAATTTTTGTGGAAATCCTCTTTAGGCAGAGGCAGACTGAAGGCTGTTCAACAAGCCGTTTTTAGCTATTTTCTGTCATCCTATGACTCAAAATAGGGGAACAAAATGAAAACAGAAACAGATTAATTTTAGGCAAGGTGTTATTAGCTTGGAGGACATAACTGAACTGAAATTGTAATTTTAAAATACAATTCACTTCAAATGTACAGAACTAGTTCAAGGATTAGGAACAGTGCATGCCAACATAAAAGCAACATTCAGAGCAAATGTGTCAGCTCATGCCGTTGGGATATGAAAGAAAATGTTCACCTTGGTGAATGGACATTTTTGTCTTCCTCTGCAGCGTGTTCCACAGGCTTCTGTTGCCCATGTTTTCCTCTAGCAGGACTATCTGCTGAACAGGCAGCAAAATTACCCCAAAACAAGCAGATATGGAGCTGGGAGTTAGCAGTGCCTCACTTACAGTGGAAATTATCTTGCTTGCAAGGTGTGGCTGTTGTTAGCAGTAGGCAATAGCCCATCAGCCCTTAGCTGAAAGTCACAGCTGTGACAGAAACAGCAGGGACACATGCCCAAGGGTGCTCTTTAGGGCAAGCATTTTTGATCCAAAATGTTAAAAAGCGGCTTATCTTACGCCTTGTACGTTTTGATCGTTTATTGTTTATGAAGGAGTAGTAAGGAATGGGGGGGATTTTTACCTCTCAGTTTCCTTTAGATGTGCACTGAGCAGAAATGGGTAGTTGTGAAACTGCTACTCCTGTTCGTTAAAAATGGGGGTGAAGGGTGTATTGAGGAGGGGGAATATCAATCTCTTTGAGAATGAATACTTCAAAATGACCACTTCTCCCCTCGTGCTTATCTCCCCCAGCTGATGGGAAGAAGCCTGTTAAAGCTGTGTGTTGGAGTGTCAGAGTGCCTGGTCTGTCACGTCAGAGCACCAGAGGTTAGCACTAAAAGTAATTTGTGGGGCAGTTTAATTTCGACACTGAAGGGTGCCCCAACAATGGTGCATGACAGAGATGAGGCATATAGGGATACACTGTGGTGCTGGAGGTTTCATTTACAAAAGAACTTTATTGCCTGTTTTCTATCCCTGCCTCTCATTGTCCTTGTTTGTGAAAGAATGACTTGTAGATTAGCAGAGGGGCAGGCCCTTGTTCTTCTAAAGTTACTAAACAAGCACTCAGAGTTGGGTTTTTAGATTAATCTATTTTCACTGTAAAAAGTGGTTCCTGGAGGAAATTTGATTTCAAGCTGTCTGTGGTCCATTCTTCCTTGGGCTTCTTATGCATCAGAAAACATTGGCTAGATCTGTTACCCAGGAAGCTTGTTCCCAGGGCTCCAGGGTGCACTTTTCCTATGGAATGACATGTTAGCAGGGATCATCAGTATGAATGTGACAACTTTATGTTGCTCTACTGAACTCGCACTACTCTAACATAGGCATTAGCAGGCCACCAGGGCATCCTCTGCAGCATAGAGATATCCTTTAGTGGTACAGAATTTCTGTGCTTAGGAAGAGCTCTACATCAACATCTTCAGATAAATTTAATTATTCTCTTTCAGATTATTTACACAACGTACAGAGAATTTGGACATGTTGATTGATATACCTATCTCATTTTGGTGCTTTCCCATCAGTCTGATTTTCCTGTTTATTCATACTTGAAAGCTGTAGCAACTGTGTCTTTCCTCTGTGTGGGTACAACCTCTAGCCCAGGGGGGTTCAAGTCTGGGACTAGTGCTTCTAGGTGCTACAGTAATGCAAATAAATAACTGCCAGTAGAACCCTGGCCTAATGCCTCTAGACACCTATATCATACTGGGAGTGCTGATTTGCCTTTTAACTTTATTAGCCTCTTTAAGACTTGGAAGCATGCCTTGCTATAGAGGAAATGTCCATACTGTGAAGGCAGTGATGCCAAATCATTTCCCCAAATGACTTCCCCTCTGGGTGGTAAAGTGTATTTTTCTGTTTTATTTTCATTCCATCATATTCTCTATCTCAAGAGAAAGATTTTTTTTTTTTCCCTCTCATCTACAGTTTAATTTCCATATTATTTAGTTTAAGAGAAGGTAACTTCATACACTGTGGAAATGTTTCCTACTCCCCATTAGTGATTAATACCAATAAAGCTAAAGACAAAACTTAGAGGATAAATGACAGATACCAGCCAATGAGATTTCCTGAAAGAGTTTTAAAGGCTAATGATCCTTGAAATGTATAAAAATAAATTGCTTCATTAAAAACTATTTTACAAAATAATTTCTTCCTAGCAGCATATTTTCTTCAAAACAGTCCCCCCGTGTAACTACACCTGGGTAGTAAAATTTGATTCAGTGCTGTTCGTATGGAGCCACAGTCAGATGCCCTGATTATGCCTGTGTCCCTGCGCCTCATCAGGGGAGCAGGTTTGAGGCTTAAAATTAGAGACATGTTCAAGGCAAGTCTGTTGAAGTTTACTTTTTGCCCAGAGGAGAAAGTGCCCTTCTTTCTGGGACAGCAACAAGCATGTTTAAACATGAGTGACAGAGCTTTTCTTTAGATGGGCACAATGCTTGTGAATCACACACATGGCTGAAACCACAGCCATTCTTCTCTAATTAAAGAGAACTACACCAAGAATGCGTAATAATTAGGTTAGTGTGTAATACACCATTCATGTCAACAGCATCTGCCGCAAAGGTTGATTGAAATGTACGCATCCTCGAAACATTGTGCTCCCTGTTTGAGCTCCTCAACTAATTCATTTCTGTGCTGTCATACAAAAACATGACTCCACAGAAATCTGCAGAAAATTAGAGCAAAGACTACATATAAATCTGCCCTGGTTTAGCATGGCTTGTAACTTTAGTGGAGGAAAACCACCCACATAAAGATGAGAGATCCCTGTCCCAATGAAGATGAATTACAAATAAAAGCCTGTTGTGGGAATGCGCTTTTTTTTTCCAAGTTGTCTGTTGTTTAGTTTGAACAGGCACAATGCTTTTGAGCTACGAGTGTTTATCAAATTGACCACAGATTATTTTTGCTTGTGTTTTTGAAGTATTTAATGAATAAGAAAATGTTCTGCTGGCAACCTTGTGTACATCAGTGCATTTCTCTGCTTTTGCTGTGGGTTTAGGAACAAGGTCAGTCATTTGGGGATGGGAGGAGTGGTTAACTTTATGCACGAGACATGGAAAAATGACTGAGACTTATATAATATTGCGGTGCACCAGGCTGGGTAGAGCAGATCACTTGATTGTATTTCAGAGTAACAAGATCCGCAGAGGCTGTATCCAGCGTTCATTGGGCAGCTTTCAAGCAGCAAGCCAAGAGCTGTAGGAGCCCTGCGGCCGCCATCCTTCATCCAAGGGGCAGCTTGGACGACCAAGTAGATCAGCTCTGCACATGCAGTCAGCTGTTAATATAGCCATCCAAGCCAGAAGAAAGGGAAATGGCCCAGCCAAAAGCATCAGTCACTTCTGCCGTGCAGGATTGTCTGTGGGTGGCTTCTCTGGCCAAGCCCTGTCAGCTTGGGCTGATTTGAGCTTGCACTTGCTGACTTGGCAAAGAAATGAAGTGACAGCCCTCTCACAGGTAGTTGTGGTGTCTTGGCTGAGTAGCAAGGGGTAGGGAAAATCATTAATTTTCTACAATGAATCAACTAAAAGCACTGAAGTAGAGCTGCAGGTAGCGTAGTCTTTCTCCAGGGGAATTTACTTAAGGTTTTGCCACTGATGTTGGTAGGAGTAGGATCTGGATGTGAGAAGGTCACACGTGCTTAAGAACATGTAGAAGCCATTTTAGAGCTGCTGGCATGTGCATTTTCACTTTCTCTTAATCGTTAAAAGAATGTGTGCTAAAAATGCTGCAGACAGCCAGAGCTTCTGCATCCTGTCCTTCCCTTTTCAAAAGCAGTTTGGGACCCTCTTGGGGAAGGACCGAGTTAGACTCACATCTGGCCAGGCAGGGGGCTGCTGATAATAAGAAAATGGCAGGATGAGCAAACTGCAGACAGGAGCATCGGATGCACATCACCATTTCTAACATACTAGAATGATAGATGAACCCATCTAGTGTTTTAATGTGCTGTGTCTTGTCTTGTTTTGTCTTTTTTTTTTTTTTTTTAAATCAATGTAGTTATTTGGGTGTAACTGCCGTTATGGCTACAGTTCTGCCTCTGCCAGCATGCTTTATACCACTGCAGAGCACGCTCTGTCCTGAGCAGGAATTGTCATACTTGGACAAGCATTTTATCGTGCTGTAATTGGTGTTGCATGGTAGGATGGGATTGGTTTAACTCTGCTGATGCTGTTAAGTAGGCAGCTTTAGTGGGGATGGAAGAGCTTCGCAGTAGTGTGCTCTTGCATCTCCTGCCGAGATGCAGGTGTGCTGCTGAGGACAGTAGGTACTGTATCACACGCTGGGCTCTGATGTGGTAACAACGCATCTGCCTTTCTGTCCTGTTCTGTGCTGATCACCACAGTTAGTGTGGCGGTAAAGATCTCAGCCAAGCATGCTGAGGCACATGGACTGCACCCTTTAGAGAAAGAGACTCAATTTAAGTTTGAGTTCCTGGGTTCTATTTTCAGATTTTGATCATCAGGTTGCTGTTTGACATTAAAAGAGAATAATGCTGACCTTATATAGCTGGTGTGAAGGATGGAGTCAGGAAAGGATCGCCCTCCGTGTGCTCTCTTGCTCATAACGATGCCCTAACCATTCACTAATGATGCTATTGGAAATCGATTCTTGGTCTAACTTACTGAAGCAATTCTTATATAGTTTCAGATGTTTAAAGGTTCTTGTTATATCATCTGAACTGTGTGGGCTATTATTGGTCAAGGCGAGCCACAGACATCCTTCAAAGAACAGAATTTGATTATCTGAAAAAGCAAAATGATGGGAAAATCATGTTAAGATACACTTGGGAAATAAAATTACATTAATGCACATATCTTCAGGAACAGGAATGTGTAGATCCTATGTTTGCTCTAAGATCTCCCACCCCCCACCTCCCCTCAAAAAAAAGGAAAAGAAAATCAAAATGAATGGAAAAAACCCTGATTTTCCCGTAACAGGACACTACAACGTCTGTGCGGATAGGTCTTATGATGGAAGAAATGATCTTCAACCTTGCAGATACGCATCTGTTCTTTAATGACCTGGAGGTATGTAGCTGCTTATTTTATTTAACATCTCTCTAATCATTTGCATCTGGTCTACAAACTTATTTTCCTGGCTAAGAAACTTTAATTTTTGATCTCAAAGAAATGGGCTTATTGGAAGCATACTTTACTGTGTCCCTTTGATATCTTCATTCTGTTAAGGAATTTTTTTCCTAAATATGCAATAACAATGATGGCTTTTGGCAGTTCTGCTAAATCTAATAATGAGGACATTGCTGCTGCTTCTCCTGAAATTTGCTATTTAATAATTATATTAAGCTAAATTAGCATAGATCCTCTGGGGCAGGTATTAGCTATGAGGTTTTAAAAAATGGTCTCTGTTTTTGAGGACACTGTGTTTGCACACACAGACAGAGCAGGAGGTCTGCTCAAGCTTAGGCACACTGCAGGGTGAAACTATGAGAGTTTCAACATAAAAGACCAAGAAGAAAAATTTTTTGTGTTTGTGGCATGATTAGATTTGACTATGACTTATACAAAGCAAAAATCATTTTAAATACATGGTAAAATTCAAGCCAAGTGATGCTAGCAGAATTCTGTCACCAGCTGAGAAACAGCTGTACAGCACTGATGAAAAGTTGTTTGCGTTGCAATCAGTAGAAACAGTCTGAATGAGTCACATACAAAGTGAGTAAGATGGGTTTGTGCTGTGGGCACCTTGGAGTCAGAGTACTGCTTGAAGGTGTTCAGAGGAAAAAAATCTGGGATCCCTGGGCAGACTTCTATGGTCTTTTTCTTCACTTGAAAAAGGAAGAATTTGTTTCTGTGCCAGATGAAATGAGAGAAATTTTTCTGTGCATGATGGGTTCGAGAACTTCTGGTTCCTTCACTGCTTAATTGCACTGTGATCCTCTGCATCACAGGAGGTACATCCTTTCCTGCCACCTATCTCCTCACAAACTGAGGTTTCACTTCCTGAGAATTTTCATTTCCTTTCGAAGACAAGTAGTGGGTAGCATCTGAACTGACAGATTTTTCCTCTTTCAGCTTTTTTTCAAAGAGGGTGTTGGCGACGAGGGTACGGAAAGTGCAAAGTGAAAAAATTCTTTTCTTAGGGGAAAGAAAAAAAAAAGAGAGCTGCTGTTTGGGAGTCCAGGGAAATATAAGTAGTGATAATATTTAATACACAACTACCACTTTCCACCCATCAGCTCTTAACTCATGATGCAACAAAGCTCTGTGTCCTGCACAAAGCCACCCTCCAGTAAGCCTCTGGCTACTGAGACTTTTGCAAGAATACAAGCTAACAAATAATTTTAAACCAAGTTTTTTTCACTTACTGTTCTAAAATGTGAAATGAAGTAGCAAATTGTCTGGCCTCAGTCAAATTCTGCACATTTATCAGTCAGCTTTGGCTCCCAGAAGCAGAGTCCTTACATCAGTTTTGTCTTGCATGGCCTCTCAAGTTCTTCTTCAGCCACTGTGGTAGAGCAAAGTTTTTAATTATAAAAAGTTAGTATGTTGTGTTCTTTTCTTTTGTGGTTTTTAGACATTCAGGAAGCAAAAGCTAAATAGAAATCCCTTAGATATGATACTCTCTCATTCCAGGAGGACCATGTAATTGATTTGAACTAGTCCAGTGATGAGCTAAAGTTTAGCACTGTGTCTCTAAATAGAAATCAAAACCTTCTGCAAAATACCTGGGCTCCATCTCCAACATAGGAAGAGCCAGGTGCTACAGAACACATCTGTTCAGCAAAATATTAAGGGAGGTTGTCTCCAAGTAGTTTGGGCTACAAAAATGATAAATAAAAACATTTATGTTACTAGTGCTGTTTTGTTGCTGCATGAGAAAATAGAAGCAATTTGTGCTGATTTCCTAGGCTATCGTATCAGCTTACCTGCTTTTACTAAAAATAGAGAACCACAAAGTTGGCAGGTGAATGAGTGAGCCTATATAGCTTTAATAGCCTTGCCAGTGGGTGTAAAGGGACATAGGCACCTGAAGTTGAGAGCAGCTTGCTGCTGGACCTGGATGGCTCAAAACTGTGAAGAACATTAAAAATGTTTGAAAACAAGCAGTGTTCCAGTTGGCCAGAGCAGAAACAAGCAAAGAGATAGCATTGTGAGACAATTTTATCTTAGGTCCAGCACTAAGTTAAAAACGCTAAACATTCTAAGTGATGATGTGTGGCCCAGGTAGCACGAGAAGAGCATTTTCTACTGAAAAATTTCAGTTTTCCCTTTTCACACATGCTTGGTAAGTGAAACAAACCAAAGTCTTTGTCAAACCAAAACTAAACCAAGGTGGTTTGGTTTTAGCTGAGCCTTTTCATTGAAAAAAAAATGAAGGATGAGGAAGAATTTGAGAGAAGTAAATGTTCTTTGTAAAATTTCACTTTCCAAAAAAAAGCCATTTCAGTTTGGAGGAATTTGCAACAACAGAATCATCCATCTTTGTTGGTTAACCACCCCACTCCTTTATTTAGGATGATGAATAAAAGTCAGGTTTGGATATTCGCAAAGTGATATTTAAGGATCATACATCACCAAGTGTTAGGCTTAAAAAAATGCAGTGAATGATGAAAAAAGGAATTGATAAAATACAAGCACAGAAGCTGATTCATTTCTAGACTCACAGACATTACCATATACATTAGCACCATCATGTGGTATAACACTGGCCTGTACAAGACAAAATAGCTAAAACCACACAGGGCTGAAACCATTTCTCACCATCTTCTGTGTTGGGGCAGGGTGAAAAAAGCTGTAACTGAGAAAGCGGTAGGATAGTTGCCCCATTCAAGATCAAAGTAAGAGTACTCTTACTAGATAATGCTAAACATAGCAAAACCTTTCTCTGGCACAAGTTGATAGCCAAGTTCAGGCATTTTGGGGGGCTCAGCAGTCTGAACCAACCAGACCATGGCTGGCCTTGGTCCTAACAGGTAGAGGCAGGGGGAGAAGTGGAGGAAATGTCGCCCATCCTTGCCAGAGGGGCAGGTTGGACAAGGAAATCAGGTATTACCTTACTTTAGCACAGGGGAATTGTTTATTTTACTGGCTGCAGTTTTGCAGTGCGGTGCAGAGCAGAAGGTGTTGCCAGGGTATAAAGCCCTTTTGCAGCATTCCCAGACTGTGCCTGATAAGGATGAAACATTTGTCCATAGATACAGCAAGGTTTGCACAGCCCTTACTAGCATTTGTATGATCCTCCTTAGTCTGGTGAGGATTTAACATCATAGTAAAAAGCTGACTTCAAAGTCTGAGTGAGGAGCCTGAACTGGAATACTCTCTTGTTTCTATCAAAAAATGATTCTGAGACTTTGTTGTTAGCCAGGGCTCTATGTGTTTTCAGGGTTTACCTAGAAGGGATTCAGGCAACTGTTTCCTGGATGCGTTGTCTGGATGCATTTTTGCTGTTGTGCTTGGGAGTGGGAATCTGGGATGTGTGAAAAGGCAAACCAGCAGATCCATTCAGATAACCTGCTTCACCCCATCCTCTCAGTGCTGCAGCCTGGCAGGGAGGCCGATTTCCCATTCCAGTCACCCCAAAACTCAGGCTGATTGCATAGTAGGAGGCTGATCACTGGTCCCCAGGGCAGGTGGGTGACTGGAAAAGCCTTGGACCTAGACTCCTACCAAACACTTTTCGGTCTTTTTACAGAAAGGGATCCTCTGTCAGCAAGTTAACTCTTCAGATGTACAGCTTAGAAGCTGGACCTTTTTCCATCTGATCCAGGGCGGCAGGGGAGGTTGATGCTTGGTGAAGCACAGCTTAGTGGTGTGCCTGCCTCGCAGCAAAGAATCAAGGCACCAAACCTTGACAGGTGCAGCCATTTTGTATCACTTCTGGGGAATGCAGTGACACAAGCATTGCCCCATTCTGCAGGTTGTCAGCAACATAACCCAGGCAAGCAAGGCCTATGTTTGCTGAGGCACACATTGAAATGATACAAGTGTGGTTTTGCCACACTAATTCATCCACTCAGGTAGCACTCACATGCCTGTTGACTGCATCATCTCTGCTTGCCGTTGCAACAGTATAGGCAGATTAAATCTCTATGGTCTGCAAGTATAGGCCATACAAGTGTTGTGTACAAAGGGCTCTGATCACACAGCAGAATATATCAGCAAATATTCGCTTGAAAGGAGGCGCTCTCACTCTCTGTTCCCCTTTAGGGAAATCATGGAGAAAAGGAGTTGCCCAAGGTTACAGATCAAGTGAAATTAAAATACGAACTCTGGGCTTTCCAGGGTTGTGCTTTTTCTCCTGGACGCCTTTTGTTCACAGTGCAACGCTGGCTAAAGAATAATACCTTCCACTCCCAGTCCCTCTGGAGATACTGTCTAGCATTCTGGAAAACAGGTATTAAGGACCTGAGGACTGACAAGGGGATGAGGAATTTAACAAACAAGGGGATTAGTGTGTTTACAAGGTACTGCCTTTCAGAGTCATCCCTGGAGGTTTTGTGTTCTGGGAATGGTTAACCCCCTGCCTAATGAGGGATGCATGCTCGACTGATCAATGAATCCATGAGATGTTTAAAAATCTCTTAACGCAGTCGTGATACACAAATAGACAACCTGTGCGTTCCTAAGTTGTTTTCACATGTGCACGAGACATACCTGGAGACTATTCAGAGGGAGCGTAAGTGACAACAGAAGGAGCTTCTCCATGCATCCTCAGGAACAGCTTGTTTTTCACAAGAAGGCAGCAGAGGCTTTCTCCAACCCTGCAGTGGGATTTCAAAGCTGCATTGGCCCAGGCTCCTTTACATGTGGGTACGAGGGTCTAGTCCCACCTAGAGGCAGGTTGTGTAGCCCAGATTGACCTAGAGATACCACAACAGTAAAAACACTTCAGTTCCCAGAGTTGTGAGGGTTGACTCAGGTCTTACACATTTGACTCAGTTACAGGCTGTACGTGCCACACATCATATCCTATAATTTTAAAAAAGCAGCAGATGTGAAAACCAGGATATGTGTCTATTGCAGACTTCCATTTGAAGAATCTGGACCTTCTTTTCAGCAGCCCAGATATCCTGCCTTGATTCCCTGCTCACTAAGATTTCAAGGAAATTCTGCAAGAATGAAAAATTAGTCTTGTAACGAAGTAGTAAAACATGGTCCACATTCTTGCCTTAACCAGCTTCCCTGTGTTTCACCCAGTAACACGATAGGCTCAGCCGGCGGACTATGAGGTAGCGTCTCACCAAGTGTCATGGTATTTTATTAAGTTAGAAATGTGATAGCTACTGTTGTCACACTTCAGTGTACAGAACAATTCATTCACAAATGAGAAAAACAGATCCCTCCACAAATACCTTTCCCCTGACTTAATGCCCTGCATCACACAACTGAAATGGAGTGGGCTGCATCAATATTATCCCAGCATGGCTCACAAAAGCTATTGGGAGGGGGGCTTAAAAAATGATGGTGGTGGAGGAGAGAGAGGTGCCAGCAGAGATCTGCTATTCAGCTGCTTGGCTCCAATTATAAAATACACACCCCAGTGATAGGTTGATAAGAGGACTGATGAGAAGAAGATAAAATCATGTGTCTTTTTGAGACTTACCTAAAATAAATTCTGCAGAAGATCTCATGATTATGGACAAGAACTATCTGTGACATTTTGCCATTGATACCAAGTTTGGTTACTTGTTTGGGAATTTATTTTCTTTTTTTGAAAGGGGCTACTTTAAAGTAATTCATAAACCTCATAATTCTGTAAGGAAGGTAAGACAAATTCTGCGGTTTACAGAAGCTGAAGTGCTGAACAATAACTGTACCCTGGTTAGCTACAGTTTTTATGACTTAGAGTCCTGTTGCACCAAGTGCTTTTTTGCCTCTGTTGAAAAATGAACCAGAACAAAAGATAGCGTTCATCAGCTTGAAGGCTTTCTGTTTTGTTCTTCCTGCAAGGGTCATGGAGAAAGGAGATTTAAGATGGTGGGAGCAGCTTCTTGATTTTTCTCTTTCTAATCGTAATGCTAAAACTAGGAAAGAAACCAAAGAAATAACATTTCTCAAATTTTTGAGGCAGGGCTTCCACCATTCAAACAATGAAGAATTTTGGAAGATAAGATCTAGAGTACATACTTCATGCAGGCCGAGCTCCAATTATATATTCTGGTTAAATTTCCTGTGCATAGATTTCCTCATTACTGACACACATTATTCCTTAACTCTGTCTGTGGCTGGGCTATGAAAGGATTTGTCTTCAGTGCTTCAGCCTAGCTTCCTGCACATCAAAGGAAGCTCAGCCCCCTCAGAACAAACTGGGAGAATACCAGCAGGACAGGCGTCTCTGGAAATTTCTTTGGGATGGATCTTCTCCCCTTGTAATTATGTGGGCATACACCTCCTGTCCAAAGCACTATTCTCAGAGGGGGAGAGGCTGCCAAATCTCTGCCTTATCATGCATATAAAGTTTAAAAACCACAGTTTTCCTGGCTAAAACACAAGCTATCTCTCTCCCTCCTGTCTGCACAGGAAGGAGTTTCACTTTATTATTCAAAAGCTGTTGTGCCCTTAGATAACAACAGATCACACATATACTCTGCCTATTCATATTTTGTGCAAGTGCCTGTTCCTAACAATTAACTGACTAGATTATGCCAGACAATACTAGCAATATGTAAGACTTTATCTCCTTAATATTACCCTTTAAGTGATTTTTCATTACATTCTTTCAAAATTTTTTTCAAAGCATTTACTTACTGCTGTATTTTTTTTCCTACACTTCTCAGGACTGTGACCAGATCCACATAGATGATGTATCATCAGATGATAATGGTCAAGATCTAAGGTACGGGATCTCCAGGCTGGAAGCTGCAGGTCAGGTAGTCCCCAGCTATTTGAACATAGCAGGGGGCTGGTCAGTGATGTAAAATAACATTCTCAGCCGTGTGCCCCCTCCCCTTCCTGGCTCCATGCTGTCTGCGTTTATTAAGCACACAGACTGAGAGAGCCCCCTTTCTCACATTAATATGTCGGTGCCTACTCTCAGGCCCTGACTATACTGAGCTTTGAACCATTCTGGGAAATATATCTAAAATGAGGTTGAACTCCAGTCAAATGACACTAGTTTCTGATACGTGCCAGCCAGTTGGCACAGGTGTGGCCAAAAATGCTTCAAAACCAGATTAAAAGGTTTCCCACTGCCCAATCTGTACGAATGGGCTCAGTAGTGAGGATTGTGGACCTTGCCGTGCCAGAGCCTTGTCACTAGTAGACACTTGTACCAAAACATCATCATCATTATTATTATCATCATCATCTGTATAAGTTAAATCACGTACATAAAAACTACTTGTGTACAATTACATCTTCCTTTCCCAAAACGTTGCCTGCAGAGTCACAGTAATTGGCACAACAATGAAACGTGCAGATCTTATATAGAGCTTTATAATTTGTGGATTTTATGGCTGGTTACTATGAGAAATTGGTGCGGAAACAGCACAGAAAACAATGAAGTGTTTCAGGGAAGAGACTTTTGCTTCTGCAGAGAACACTTGAAATATCTTTTGCCATAACTGAAATGTTAGTTTGTGCTTTGCAATGCACTGAAATGGCGCATGTATATTTAGGTCCTTTGGCTCCAGTGGCCTGTAAACAGGTGAGTCTGGATACTTGTTCAGTCATTGACTAAAACATTAATTGGGGTTTTATCTCAATCAGTGCATTTAGTTTTAGTGAACGAAAAAATCTGTATGCTAACAGCATCTCTTGAATTCTGTGAAAAGCCCCTGCCTGAGTGGTTTCAGTTGTTTCAGAAACATGACTCAGCTGCTCATGGCTTGTCTATGTGAGAAACGAAGCTGAGCTGGCTGAAGTACATTAAGCAAGTTAAACTCCTATCTGGATGCTCTAATACAGAAATGAAGTGGCATCAGGGCTTTCTAGAGGGGGAAATTACTGTGCAGTAAATCAGGATGTGAATATACAAGCACTAGCTACTTCCCCAGTCAGGTGTCAAGCACTGTAAGCTGCCCTGAGAAGGGTAGGTCTGTGTCACTGAGCCTTTCTGTCCCTTCCCTTGCTCTGGTTCAAGCTGAGTTTGTCCAAATCCACCAGGTCTGTGACCTGATCCAGCCAACTGTGTCCCATAAGCTGCAGCTGCCCTCTTCCATCGCAGTTCAATCTGAGATCTGCTCAGGCCATGAAACCCATCCTGATGCTGTCATCTGGCAAACATTTTAAGATGACATGAGCTGGTACTGCCTCTGTGTGCCCCTCCTTCCCCAAACCAGGGAACTGATCCAGCTGAAAAGCAACTTCTTTTGTTGTTTGGGTTTTTTTTTAAAGCTGCATTATGTTTAACTGGAATAGTTCTCTGATCTGATTCACCTCAGAGCTGAAGAAGTGCTTGTGCTGGTACAAAGAAGGGGGGCATCGAGGAAGGCTGAAGACAGGAACAAATGCCGGGCAGAGGGCAGGATTGCCTCCTTCAGAGAAACTGCCTGTTTAAGGTGTTTGTGGAGTTGTCACTTGCCCCCAATTCATTGTGGTAATTACTCAGGAGTTGCTTTGAAATATTAACTCAGTTTAAAAAAGAAACAAACTTTACGTGTTGCAGGCAATAAAGGCTCCTTTAGTTAATTTCTTAATTTTTTTCCTTGATCTAATTTGTGTTCAGACCCTGTTTAGCAATATAGCCAGGCAGTCAGAAAGGTAACAGAATTTTCTCCTTTAGGATTTGAGTATTTCTGCAGTTACCTTAGCAGCCTGGATGAGACGCAGGTGAGGAGTTTGTGACCTGAGGACATTCACATGTTTTGTAGTCCAGAGGACCTCAAAACTGGCAGGTAGTGCTAATTAACCAGTGTTGTGTTTACACCAAGAACATTTTTAAAATCTGTTCTAGTAATGGTGCTAGAGGTGAACCCCAGTTCTGTACAGTGTGTCCTGCGTACATCTCTGCTGCCACTTGTCTCCACATTTCTTTCCAATTTTTTCCACTCCTTGATGGCGCTGTATAGGCTGTAATTATACTGACCTCTCCCCTCCTCCCTTTCCCAGCACATATAACTTCTCCGCAGATGGCTTTCACAGTTCAACTGCCAGTGCAAATCTGTGTCTGGGCTCAGGTGTTCATGGGGGAGTTGACTGGATGAGGAAATTAGCATTCCGCTACCGTCGGGTGAAAGAGATGTACAACACCTACAAAAACAACGTAGGGGGTAAGTGTCTATGGCCAGGCAACAAGAGTGCCTTTCACATTCCCAAATGCTTCTGACCTTGCTAGGGACATGCTATGGAGGAGGTGTAGAGGGCATCATGCTAAGAATACTTCACACTGAGCTGAGCAAGTGTTTCAGCAGTCATCCTTAAATAAGATTCTGTACAGGATTGTGGGAGAGATGCTTAAATACCTGGTTTAGTAGTTGGAGAAGGAATCAAGTCTGAGAGTGGGGCTTTATTTTCTAATTTCTTTGGCAGGAAAGCAATCATCTCCAATTTTCCAAAATGCTTAGTAAGCAAGGAAACAGTTCAAAACTAAATATGCTTTTTTTTTTTC